GGAAGAATCGGCCAGGTGATGAGATGGTTCAGTACGAAAAGGCATCTAGCCCCAAACCTGATCTAAATTTCATCCCTGGGACACATGTGATCAAAAAGAGTAAAGACTCTCATATGTTGTCCTCTAACTTCCACATGGTACATACCACACACACACACACACACACACACACACACACACACACACACACATGAATTAAAAAATGTTCTTTGAAAAACTCTTTTGTGTGGAAAAACCTGAGGATCTGTGGCAAGAAAGGTCATCAAACTCCATTCAAAAGGAAACTAGGTCAACAGAAAGTTTCTTCCCAAACGTTCTTTTCTTCTACCCAGAGGTGTGCATCACAGGGGAGTCTGCTACCACATCACATCCTCTTGCCCATTGCAATTGCACAAGGCTCACCAACTGAAACAATTTGAGTGTCTAGGAAAACAAGCCTCATGTGCATGTGTAGAAGCCAGGCCAAATTCCAAGAACAAAGAGACTGGTGTCTTAAAATGGTACTGTTGTTTCCTTTTGTTGCTTTAAAATGTCATTCTGGATATCTAGAAAAGTGAAAAATAATAGAAAAAGAGAAATGTCTCATAAAGGATTAGCCAAAACCCTTTTAGTATGAAAGACCCATCTAGTAACCTGCTTGCTGGTGTGGAGGGACATTTGACCAGTTATTCCCCCATGACCATGGGTACAAGTTTGACCCAGGGGCATGCAGAGTATGCAGGGTCCCAGGCTATTCCACAAGTGTTTTGACTCCGCTGTTCCGATGACAGACCTGGGAACATGCATTTAACTACGAGTCCATGCTGCATCAACCACACTCCAGGGCAGGCCCCTTACTCAGGAGTAGTTAACCAACACAAAACAGACTTCATGGTTTTTTTGTGTGTGCATTTTTGCTTTATTTTCCTACTTTTTGTCATGTTGATTTTTTAGCTTGTTTCTGGTTTTGGTTTTTGTTGATTTTCCCCCATTGGTTTATTTTTTCTTTTTGAGAGACAGAGAAAGAAAATAAACATGAAGTTGGGTGGTTAGGAAGGTTGGGAGGAACTGGTAAGGGAAAGAACATAACAAAATAAATTGTATGGTAAATTTTAATTAAATAGAATATATATTAAATGTTATAGTCAACCAATCAATAAGATCTCCATGGCTCTTCTGACAGTGTACAACCTCCAGACTACCCCTCAGAACTGCTACCCTGGATAGACATCCTTGACAGCTCTGACTTATTGGCACGCCTCCCATAAGTGTACTTTGCAACCTTGTGTCACTCACCAGAATGCCCCAGCTGAGTCTCTAAAGGAATTCCAGAAGAGCCAGTACCAGGCTAAGGGCTAAGGGCCTGGACTACCTCATGTCATCTACCAAAAGGCTAAAGACTTCCCCTTTCTTCCAGGAAATTGGGCTAATAAGTGCAATTATCATCAGTGGCTACTCCACACCATTGCATAAGACACAGATTTCTGTCTTTACCCAAAGATTAGCAGCAGGTATTACAATAATCCCAGCTTTGTGTTTCTGTCCTCTTCAAAAGACTAGAATTGCTTCATAGCCTGTGTAATGGGATGAAGAAGCCTACTCAGCTGAGTGCAAAAGTATCTGTCACATATCTGTTCTGTGTAGAAACAAAACCCTGAGTAAATAAGGAAAGAAATAAGGGTTCATGTGTGGCTGATGAATTCATACTTTCTTAACATTCACTAAAATTAAACCATCCCATACTGAAGTTATATAAAATGCACACAGAAAGGTTAGCAGTGCAAAAAAAAGGGGGAGGGGGAGATTTGGGCACAGAAGGAGTGTGTATGAGAGGTCTTTGTGGAGAAAGTGAAGTGATGGGTCATGCCTCAAGCATCCAAGAACTTTAAGTTCTTTGGATGTACTTCAGTCCTGAATCCTCACTTGATGCACTGACATTGCCTGTAACCATGGGATATAACTGTAGAGTCCTTCCCTGCTTTACAGAACAAAATTAGGTGGCTATCCAGTATAAACACAGCTCCCGCATAAACCACAGTCATCAGCCATCATCTTTATAATGGTGACTGTGCTTTTCCTGTCATGAAAACAGGAGGCCATGGCACTGCTCCCAATGCAGAAGGAAACAGTCAGCCCCACCACCGATGGTCGTGTAGCAGTCACTGGCAGCCCAGTGAGCTTGGATAAAGAAATTCAAAGACGCTTCTCCTCCTCTGGGACTCTCTAGGAGGTAAGCTCACTGTGCCAAGTGTGACAGTGACTTGGAGAGACAGTGCAGCATTGTAGTTCACCACACAGATTCTGCGGGCTGACTGAGAGGTGTGAGCCTGGTACTAGGTCATAAATCTCTGCTAGACAATGTAAAGAGTTTCCCGGGCCTCTAGTCCTCACCTGTAAAATGGGCACTGTTACATCTTGGCTACTGGGTGTCCTCTAAAGCCATGCATTAAACATTTAACAGGCAGCCATTGGCACTAACTACTGGGAGTGGGACCGTTGACAGATGGAGTCTACTGGAAGAGGTTAGGTCACTGGGTCATGCCTTTGAGGATATTTTCTCTGACCTCTTCTCTGTGTTTTTGCTCCCTGGCTGCCATGAAGTGAGGAGCCTCCTCTGCCACCACACTCCCTTCATCATGCTCTGCCTCCTCACACACCCAGGCAGTCAGGCAGGCAGCTATGGATTGGAACCTGAGTCACTAAGCCTAAATGATTTTTTTTCTTCTTTTACTTCCTAGGTATCTTATCACTGACAGAAAGCTGACTGGCACCGGTAGAGTATGTTAGTGGGAAGAACAAAAGCATCCTACAAGCTCCATGTGGGTATTCTGTGCTAAGAAGACATCTCCCTCACACCAGTTGTCAGCACCTAGGAACAGAGATGTAGGCCCCCACCCCAGAGCAACTGGCCCTTCCCTATAGCAGAGAACCCAAGCTCGTCTAAACATCGGACCATGCAACCATGCACAAGAGCTCTTCCTTCTTTATGCTCTAAGGTCCATTATTTCCAGTGAGACAAGGTTGGCTGTAAGTGTTGCAGCTTTAATGAAAGAGTATCCTGGCACTGGGGAGCCAAAGGATACTAAGTGGTACAGCTTACAGGGAAAAGTATCCTGGCAATCAGGAGTCGAGGAATACCACAGGTTACAGCAAGCACAGCAACCCACAGGCCTGCTGAGGGAAAGGTTTTCCCAGTGTAACAGCTCTGCTCCAGCATAGGATGGTTTCCTGAGCCAAGCTGTTACAGTTCTGCTCCCATCCCGAGAATGTAACAACTCTGCTTCTCTAGGAGAAGTTCTCATTACCTGTTGAAAAGTGTTACAGAGCTGCTCCACTCAGCTCTGCCCAGTCTCTGTCTCTGTTCCTGGGAAACAAGGTCTACACCTAAACCTCATTCAAGGTATTTATTGGGAGGGAAGAATCCAGGAGAGTGGCTGCCTTTGCCATCGTGAAGAAGACATCAGCAAAATGAACAGGCACAAGTTTATATGGGGCTTCTTAGAGGCAGAATTGTTCCAGGGAGATGTTCAGGGTGGGGATTTGTGGGATTTCAGTCCCTTGAGTTTCAATTGGCTAGTTCTCATGCTCAGGGATTGGTTGGTTTTCCCTTCTCAGGGACTGGTTGGTTTTCCCTGCTCAGGGATTGGCTGGTTTTCTGCTTAGTTGGTCAGGAGTAGATTTGGCTCTGGTTTCAGGGTCAAAGTGTTTCTTTCCCCGGCCCATTTTACACTTTTGACTCTAATTTCAGGGCCAGGGCATATTTGTTTTACTGGCTCTAATTCTAGGGCCAAAGTGTGTTTCTTTGGCTCTGGTTCAGGGTCAGGGTGCATTTCTTTGATTCTGGTTGCAGGACCAAAGTGTGTTTCTTTTGGCTCTGCTCAGGGCTGTGTTTCTTTGGGTGGCCCCTTTTCCCTACAGTGGCAGGTAAGCATATTTTCTACAAGAACACTTCTTAGCCCTTATGGCTACTCCCATGTGACAGAAGGCCACTCCCTTCCATCCCTCAACACTGACACAGACAGAATCCTAACTCTGCCCTCTATTCACCCCTTAACTAGGGACCTCCTTTTATTCTCTGTCTGTGTTGCCCATAAAAGTCCAAATAGTACAAGCATGTATCATCTTCCAAAACCCCCCTCCCCAGTGCTCAGGGCTGACAAGGTCCCTTTGGTAGATACCCCTGAGTACTTTCTTACTCTTCTCACTGCTCTAATTGAGTGGGTCCAGGGGTATCTGATGAAAGGGAGTTGACTATGGTCCAGAATGAGAAAATACTTTATGTGTCAACCAAAGCCAGCAGGAATGAGAGTTCTGCTAGGAAGATTCTGGGAGGGTGTTTAAGGTCCAATAAGCAAATGCACTGTGATCAAATAATAGCATACAGAATGTGTTCATGGATGACGGCTTTGGTATTTGCAAGGCCCTTCCATCAGCCTGTCCACCAGCCTGAGAATAGGCCTCTATGCATATAACCTGATTTAGAAACTGGGTAACACCCTCAGGTTAACTATAATTTTTCTCACAATTAAAGAGCTTCAATACTGTCACAATTAACCCTTATTTTTTTTTCCCTTGGGAAGAAGAGCCCAAGCTGTTATGAGCTAGTCATCGTTCAGTTCCAGGCTAACCATCCAGCAAAAGCCTAAGCCATCAGCAAAAGCCTAAGGGAAGGAAGCCCGGGATAGGCAGGATTTCTGTGGGAAAACAGAAACAAGAAATGACAGAAAGATATTTTTCCCAGGATAAACACACTGACCAGGTACCATGGTCATGAGGGCTCACAATGACTGGGAAAAGAGTAACCCAAAAAATACTTTAGGTTCAGCATGATAGAGTTTTTTGAAATGTATACATTATCTCTTACATAGATTTGCACATCCAGGTGCTTAGGGGACAAGCTACCTTTCCAAAGAGCATGGAAGATAACAGAGAAGGGCAAAGTCACATCTAACCACCAGAGGGTGAGGTAGAATAATGTCTATTAACCCACCACAGAGAATTAAAAGATATACTTGGCTTACCACTTAGTGTTTCTGAGTCAAGGAGAGCAAGATGAAGGTCCTTTTCTTCTAGAATATAATATAATTGGCATCTAGGACCAAACACAATGTCACGCTCCTTTAATTGCAGCCCTCAAGAGGCTAGCAGGCAGATCTTTGTGAGTTTAAGGCCAGCCTGGTCTATGCAGAGAGTTTCAGAATAGACAGGACTACACAGTGAGATCTTGTTTCAAAATCAAATGGGCATCTATTATACCTTAGGTCTGATTAACAGCGGTCTATATGGAGGAGGTTATAATACATGGAACTATACAAGAATCCTTTCCCTCCGTCAGCATAGTCCTCCAAGCCTCTCTCTTGAGTCTATTCATTGTTCATAGAGTCTCCAGGATTCCCAGGCACAGGGATGATGCCTGTGTTGCTATATGAAATATTGTTGGGCCTGTTTATTTTAATATGCCTTCAGATATTTTCAGGGTTTTCTCTTACTTCCATGTTGGGGGTCTTTCTACCAGTTTGGAAAAGTGCCCCCTTACTCAAGTCCCCAAGCGCATCAGATAGACTTGAAAGCTTAGGCATTTTCTATGCAGCCCTCTGTTCCTGTCACACCAGGGAGCCACCACGGAGGAGGAGGGGAAGCCATGGGAGGAGGGAGGGAATGCTCTCAGAGTTTCGTTTACGCCCCAGAGGCCCCAGAGGCTGTACCACCCACAGTCTTCCCTCCCAGTCTCTCAAATACATCAGAGCAACGTGAAATATGAAAACGCGCCCAGACGCTCCCAGTTTCTGGGGCCTTCAGTCCAGCCTCTGCCACCTGTGAGGAGCCGAGCAGAGCCTAGCTCTGGGAATATAAAATTAGTTGCCACTGGTGCCTTGTCAATCAACATTCAATCCCATGCAAAGGCAAAACTACATATGTAACCATGTGCCTGCCACATGTAGGAATGCTCTGAGCCACCTCACAGAGAAGTGACCGCTCCTCCAGGGAACTTGTTACAGCCCTGCCATCGGACTTTGGGATCCAGGTGGTGGAAGGAAGGAGGAGGAGGGGTGAATGGGTCCCTACAGGTACGAACCTTCCCAAAAGTATGGGAAGGATAAAAGACATACAGGACAAGCGTGGCAGTCCCTTCTGGAGGCTCAGCATCCTCTGAAAGTGGCAGTGTCCGAGCAATGGTCTTAAAGTGACGATGACATGACACCACCACTGTTAAAGCAAAACGAAAACAAATGTCAAAAGCAAAAGCCGTGGGTCAAGGACATCGTGAGAATAAGAGGAGTGAAGAGGCACAAGCAGGAAACTGGAAGATAAGAATAGCTTTTATATCTGTGAGCCACACGGCACGGCAGCCCCACAACACTTCCAAGAGGAAACTGAGTTTATCAGGGAGCACAAAAGATGACGGCAATAAGGAGTAAGAACACATAGTGATGATCACCTGAGCTTTTCAGGGCCGTCTCCGGGAGCTTTGTGTGCAGCTTCCAAGACCAATCTTGTCCACCGTGTTAATGGCCAAAGCACAGGCATGAACATGTGCTCCTGCCTTTCAGTGGTACAGTGGAGAAATCACACCGGCACCCCGCTCTACCCCACCCCTGTCACTCGTCACTCATGCATGGACATCAACTGATGAAACTTCACAGAACTCCTACCCCAACTCCTAGCTTCCCATGAAAATCCCCTTCAAATTACATTTGTTCCTGTCTACAGAGCATTACAGCACCACTGATTTGTCAAAGACACCTGCAGCAATGAAACCATCTTCGGACTGAGACTTTAGAATAATTGGCATGCCCAGTAGTTCCCCACGGATCGAGTTAAGACATACAATGAAACCTGAATACCACTGTCCTAAATTCCCTGGAATACATTGCTCAGATGCCCCCATCATAGCATATAGTTCCCTCTGGAGACAGTGACGGGTAAGCACACCTTACAATGTCTGAGCCACCCCTTTGAGACTTTAAGCAGGGAGGAATAAGGGATTCCTAATCAAAAGGAATGTTTTTCTTCTCTAACCAAAACAGCTTTAACAGCAATCAATTCTTCCACGGGCAGAGTCTTTCGCAGGTACAAGCATTCCCAGCTCTGTCACCACATTTGATACTCACCAGCTCTGAAGCCCAGAAATGTGTGCATTTGCAGTCAACACCTCAGGACAACAACAGCAAAAAGACAAAGCTGCCCTAAGCAGTACACAGAGGGTACTTAGCACCTCAGGCAACTGTTCCCTGCGACCAGCACCCCACTCCTCCCCTGCCCCAGGGTTTCCTTGCCTATCTTTTTCAACACCATGTGTCTGCATCTCTATATATTATCATCAGATGATGTGATGCAGCTGTTTTCTGGGTTTCGTTCTTTTTACTCCTTCCTCATACTCCAATAAGCTTTTTCAAATGGCGCCCACATACTTCAAAAGAGAATGTTTGTTTTGTGACCCCTTGGGCATGTCCTTCCCAACTGGATCACCTGGCTCATTTGCTCTCCTTGGGATTCATGTGCATAGCATCCCCAGGCCCTTCCTGTGTTCCGTTTTCCTACTCCCATTCCTGCAGCCATAGGAGCAAGTTGGTGCTGGATGAATTCTGCTAACTTCAAAACAAAATTACTTATTTAAGTCTGAGATGCTGAACCTCAACCCTGCACCTCCTGCCCAAGGATTTCCAAGCTGAAAGGAACTGTGAAAGCCAACTGTCTCACTGAAAAGGTAAGTGAATAGGGATCCAAATCCAGGCCTTACCCTTTTTGTCTTTCCAGCACATTTGACATCCAGCCCAGAATATCTCCCATCTGCCCTTTGTGTTAGACAACCGTTGCCCAAGTATGTTTTATACTAACTCAAACTCCAAATGGAAGTCACCTTACAGACCTCTTCTCTTATTCCCAAACCTGCTGCTCTTCCTGGCGACGGTACCCAGTGGCATCCTTGATTTGGATGCCATTCGCTTCCCTTGTGTTTACCCCCATCCTCCCCCTCCCCCGCCTACATTCTCAACACCCTAGTTCAAACCACCAAGACCTCTTCCTGAATTCCATAAACAGCTTCCAGAGTGGCCATCCAGATTTTCCTCTCACCTACTGCCCATGATAATCACATCTTCTTGCCACCAGCAGTTCAGTGAAGCAAAAATTTGATCATTTTCCTGCCCCCAACTAATTTGTGAGTCCTCTTGGTGCAAGAGAAGAGTCTAGATTCTGAGCAGGACTACCATGACTAGACATGTTTTGTTCCTTCCTTTACTTCAGATCCCTCTGAACTTACGATCTCAGGAGTACCTCACTGGTCCCCATTATTCTTTCAACCACTTCCTTGCTTGAAACTGACAAGGAGGCCTCTCCATCTCTCATGACAACACACAATCCCTCTGAAGTTCTACACCAAACCAGTGGCCAAGAGACAACAACCTAGAGTCATGTGAGGTCAATATCATCAAGTCACAAACACCACAGATGGTCAATATATTGATCCAGCAAAAAGAGAATAAAGATATACTCCAGGGTGCTTCACAGAGCAAACTAAATTATCATGGTGGAAAATGGGAGGGTGTGTATGGGACTGAACGTGAAGGCACTAGAATTGTGTCAGGTAAAGGGGCCTCAGTCTGGGAACCCTGTCCTATAATATAGGACTTTGTATCCCGGTCCAAGTAGTAGGATTACCCTTGGAAGATATGGGGCAAAGAGAAATGCCAAAGTTACCCCAACAGATGGAAAAGTGGAGTTTTTCAAAGGCCATGGAAGCTCCATATGCTACACAGTGCAAGCACGTTTGATGACAACATGCTGCTGTAGGGACCAGGGGACACCCCATTTGCCAAGGTAAAAGGATAGCAAGGGTGGTACTGATGAGGAGCTGCATGAACCAGGATTCAGGGGAGGAGACACTACTGCATTGACCAGTGCCTTCCTGCTCAAAGTAGAGTCGATCACTTTAGTGGTGATGATAGGCAAGGAGGACACAATCAACCTGACTAGGTTGTCATTGTAAAAATGACATTGGCTAGGTGACTTAAACAACAAATATTTATTTTATACCATTATTTTATACTTAGAGTTTAAGACCAAGGTGGCAAAAGAGACTGTGTCTGGAAAGGGCCCGCTGTCTAGTTCAGATGTCTAAGTTCACAGACATGATCCGTCTCTGTAGCCACATGTAAGAGCACTTACTTCAGTCCTGGGAAATCCAAATTTATGGCATAGTTACCTCCTAAGAACAAAACCTCCTAGTCCCATCTAATTGACTATTAGAATTTCAACATATGATTTTCAAGAGAAACACAAACATACAGTATAGTGACTATAATTAATTGCAAGACTAGACAACAAGATATGCCCAACTCATGAAGAGACAGATAGTTGACAGAGCCTGGAAAGCTAGGGGCACCTAGGCAAGCAACTAACCATGGAGGGTTTTGTCCAAACCTAAATCATGGGTGGGTGATCAGGAATTATCCAACATGAGAAACAATGATCTCCAGAAGTCACAGGTTGCTGAGCTGGCTAGTGTTTTGTCAATCTCACACAAGTTAGAGTCATTTGAAAAGATGGGACCTCAGTTGAGAAAATATCCCCATCAGATTGGCCTATGGGCCATTTTCTTGATTAATGATTGATGTAGAAGAGTCCAACCTATTGTAGAAGGTGCTACCCTGAGCAGGTGGTTTAGGGGTGAGTAACTAGCTGAGCAAGCAGGAGAATCAAAACAATGAGCACTCCTCCATGGCCTCTGCATCAGCTCCCACCTCCTATCCCTGCCCTGACCTCCAGGAATGATGGACTATATGCATAAGATAAAAGAAGCCTTTCCTCACAGGTTGCTTTTGGTCATGGTGCTTATCATAACAACAGAAATCTAAGTTTCCAAATAAAAGGTCCAGTGTGGTATAGCTCTCCTCTTCAAATTGGTGGTTGGTGGGTCCCAGAGAACCCTAAACAATACAGGCTGTTGAAACTGTTCTTGGGTGCCCACCAGAACTTGATGGTAGGATCCAACTGCTGAAGACATTACATGCTTTGCATAGGACTTGGAGAAATGAAGCTGGTACTGTTTGACCTGGAAGTTTCCTTCCTGCAGGCTGACTTTCAGACTACTGGAAGGTGCTAGAAAGACTTCTAGAGAAAAAAAATAATCAACAGACTTACCATCATGTGAATCCTGCAAGCTACGATAACAGGAGGTCTGGCAAGATACACTTGTGGGTGCAGTAATGACATGAATATCATGGGGGTAACCGTTGCCTTCTGATTAGATTTAAGGTCCATTCTACCAGAGGAAAGTCATGCTTTACTATAAATCTGGACAAGAAGCTTTGTCTGGAGCACTCATATGCCTTGGGGTGGGGGAATTAAACCTACTACTATTTTGCTAGACAGACTTAGTATCAAACTGCCTTCTACCTCTATACTTGTAGATTGTGTAGCTCTCAGTCCTCATCAGAGTAGTATCTTTGTAAAGTGGGCAGACATTAACTCACAACTTATCAAAGTGAAAAGAACAAGTGTCTATGGAGTGCTTGGCAATAAATGGGAAATCTATACCATACACCCTCCCTGGAGGCTCAAGAAACATCCCCAAATAAGTTGGGGGAGACACTGTAAGAGACAGAAGTCAGGAAGGACCATGGTGAAACATCTTCCAGACATGTCAGAACCATTGACTGCACAAGACCTGAACAAGATAAAGCCAACCAACATTTCAATATGGACAGATGAAAGGAACAGGTGCCCCTACTCCTAGATAAGGTACTACTGATGCTTGATGGCTGCTGAAGGAGAGTCACTTTTCTTAAGAAATTGAGGCTGACCATACCATGCTCCATGTATGCCCACACCTGTATACATGGGCAGCATTCATTGACTCCATAGATTATACAATTTAAAAAGCAAAGAGAAGGTGAAGTTGGGAAGGAACATGGAGGGAGCAGGAGGATCTGGAAAGAATTGGAAAGAGGGGGTGATAGGTAAGCATGTTTGAAATATAGATAATACATATATGGAATTCTCAAAGAATAAATTAAAATACTATAGATTTTTAAAAGAGCAGCATGGATGAGGAAGGGGCTCGTAAGCTCCACCCCTAGCTGAGGAACTATTGGTAATTGACAGCTGCCGGGGAATGTGGACAGAGGTACATGACCCATGCTCCATTGGATAACCCTATATCCATACACACATGAGCACTCTAATTGTTGGTAAGGAGAAATGGT